CTCTACATCAGTTTCATCTTTGATGCGACAGCGTAGCCCGCTGCACTTGACGTCCATCTACGTCTGCATCGACTCGACCTGCTTATTCTCTATTGCTCCCATCTCAGCTTTCGACATCCTCTCCTCCCATCGAACCGCCCCTCATCACTCATACAGCCACGGCAGCTCACTCGTACTGATCTGATCCTCGCTGCTCCCTAGCCGACGCTACTGCAGCCACTCACAACTCTACGACAGCATGCGCTACCAGGCCATGCGCTAGGTAACCATGCAAGCTCTCATTGTCGTATACATAATCTGTAAGCTCTTAATATCTGTGTCACTCTTTCCTTGCCGTTCGTAATGATCGAGTTTCGTTACTCCACTCTGGTGTTCTGCTTATTTATTACGTATATCTTATATATATACCATACATACAATAAATACCACCACACACCACACAATGTAATATTAATATACATACAAATAATACAGACACACACACACACACACAACACCACATCACAACACCACCACACACACCACACACACCACACACACACACACACACACACACACACACACACACACACCACACACACACACACACACACACAACAACACACCACACACACACACAACACACACACTCACACACACACACACACACACACACACACACACACACACACACACACACACACACACACACACACATAATATATAGTATATATATATATTATATATATATATATAATATATTATAATACAATATTATATATATATATATATATATATATATATATATATATATATATATATATATATATATATATATATATTCACATACATACGTTTGTGTGCCGTGTGTGTTATATACATATATATATATATATATATATATATATATATATATATATATATATACTATATATATATATATATATATATATATATATATATATTATTATATATATATACTATATATATATATATATATATATATATATATATATATATATATGGTTGCAGAGTAGGGAGTCCATTAACAGAGAATCAGGCAAACGGCGATCTGAGATGCAGTTTTTGTTTTTTCTCTCGTCTAGAGCTCTAAATGTGCATATATCGTGTTGTAAAGCTAACGAGGAAGCGTGATATTAAAAGAGAGAAAGAGTGAGAGAGAAGTGAGGAGGAAGCATAAATGGAAGCACGTAAACAATGCAAATAAAATTTTGTTTTTATTGTGTCAATGGGAACAGCAAATCGTCTATACAAGTGAGAGTATTGGTAAAATTGGATCAGGAAATGAATGAAATGAAGAAAAGGTAAAGTTGGAAGTCAAGATTGATGTGAGGGAGGCTAATGATAAAGGCCATATAAGAAAAGGTTGTGAATCTTAAAGAAATTGATAAAAAAGAAATCGTTAAAAGTGACAATCAGACAAACTTTAATGTTGGGATGGACAAAGAATAGCGCAGGGAGATTCTAGTAAACGAAACGAAAAAAAAATAAAATAAAATAAAGACTTGTGAGGCCAAGAAAGACGACTTTCACATCCAGGCAAAAAAAAAAAAAAAAAAAGAAAAAAGAAAAAAAAAACTGCAAAACTAACAAAGGAATAGTCACACTAGGACATAAAATAGTAAATGAGGCACCAAGCGATACATTGAGGACAAAATGTGAATTCTCGGAAAAGAACATATTTGCACATAGAACAAGACAAAATGTATTATCTAAAATAACATTCCTGACGAATCAACTGGTAAATGGTTCGGTATAGAAAGCTAAACCCCTGAACAACGACTAAAATTACAAGACGGGATAACAAAAAATATGAACAAAGACAAAGGAACACTAGGCAAAAATGAGACACAAAAGGAGAACATGACAAAGGAAGGTTTATCTTTGTTTGGAGGGATATAAGTACTTATGCTTCTACAAGAAGAGTAACGTTAGGACTAAAAGCCTAAAATATTTGGTGAAAGGACACAGAATTGATGCAAACGGAGTGGAGGAATAGTTTAATAAAAATAGCTGTAAAGGGAGTAGAAACAAAAATGCCAATCGAAAAGACAGTTACGAAACAAATTGGGGAAACAGTAATAACGGCACCAACACGGAACGTCATACGCCAAGAATATGACTAAAAGCTCATTTACGAAATATTAAGGTGTAGAAAGTAGTACAACAACCTATGTAAACTAACATAAGAACTCATAATGTAGGGTTTAAATGGCACAATCAGCTGGGAAAGTCGAGATCCCAAAGCGGATCATACAACGTGGGCTGCAAAATTACAAGATGTAAAAAGTATTACCTTTTCAAAAGCGTGACCCATCTTATTAGCCAAAAAGAAGATGCGTACAAGACGTGGAATACTGATCTCAGTATGGAGAAAGCGATTATAAAGTAATGAAAGGAAACTGGAGTAACATAGGAATGTGCCACACTTTATAACCGAGGCAAAAAAATGCCAATTAATGTTTAGTGAAAAATGCCAGTACTTGCAGAAGAAAAACTC